AGTAGGGTAGAGGAATTTAAACTACTTGGTATACACCTTAACAGTAAATTGAATTGGAAAGATAACACCGTAAAGAGTGTAAAGAAGGCACGGCAAAGACTGTATTTTTTAAGATCATTGAGAACTTTTACTGATAGTGTGCCTATTTTAGTCAATTTTTATAGGTGTGTAATTGAAAGCATTCTAGCGTACGGAATTATAATATGGTATAGCGGAACAGCTGGGGAGGAAAGGAAGAAATTAGCAAACGTTGTAAAAACTGCAAGCAGGATTATCGGGCAAGATCTCCCCAAGCTGGATGATATTTTTAAGGACAGGATGGAGAAAAGAATTGTCAACACCATGAAAGACGCTTTCCATCCTGCATCCTCTCTTTTTACTTTTTTACCAAGCAACAGTAGACTTTTAACTTTTAAAGGCAGTAAACGCTTTTTAAACAGCTTTTATCCAAGTGCAGTGACGTATTTTAATTTGATCTCAAAGCTAAATTCTTAATTTATTTATTTATTGTATTATTTTATTATTTTACTCTGTATATTGCTCCAATGGAAAATGATTTCCGATTTTTATAATTGGCTAAATAAACTCTTATGTTATCTTATCTTATCTTAAGATGAGTGTTCAGATTCAATTAGGAAAATCTGAGGCACAGTTTATAAATTATATCAGTAAAAGAGTGTCCCAAATAAAGCCACCTATAAACTGTTCACCCAAGGTCCTTAGGTACAGGTACATGTAGTGTTATTATGTGCGTGTACAATGTACTTGGACACAAAATACACAGTATTTGTACCCGAGATTGTATGGTCATGCAAGTGAGTGAAAAAGTAGTATGAATTCATTTGAAAACAGTTACCAAAAGCAAAAAAAAAAAAAGTAAAAAGTCCAAATTTCAAATGTCACCAATGGAAATTCTGCAATATTCACAAAAAAATTTCCCTTTTTTTTTTTCAAGGGGGGGGGGGGGGTCTCAGAGCAAAAATAAAATTGTATAACTGTATAATTGTTCTTCCAAATTTCAAAATCTTACTTACTTGATCACTCTAACCTGCATGCTTTCATTCACGAAACTGATGAGAAAGTTAAGGCGACTATAAGCTAAATCAATAACGCCTAATTAGTCAAAAGCTAATTACCCTTGCCAAGTTGCACATTAGCAGTATTGGTAATCGATCTTTAAATACATTTCATTCACTAATTTATTGGTCATCAATATAAATCATGACTGTTAGCGTATCACATATTGCCTGTTCCAATATTTCACACAGTTTTAACTACATTTCACTCCCAGCAATGTAAAGTGTAATTAAAAAACTCAGGCAGTTTAAATAACAGTTCCACACTTAGCGTCACTCACTGTAGCCTGTACATGTAACCTGTAACCTGAACGCACTGTCATACATTTATAATTTAAGTAACTAAATTTTCGAAACTTTATCAGAATCTTTGTACTTTAGCCCTTCAGTAGTTCATACACAGCTTTGAAGTTCCTAAAAAATACCCAGGAAACTCGCAGAAAATCACACATACCTGTACATACATTACCTACCTATATTGTCACCACCGGTGTAAGTACAGTCAAAACACTCCGCCATGCTTTTGCATGTATACAGCCTCGGTTTGACCTGGTCGTCCAGGAAATTGGGTCACATGATCAACAAAATGGCTACGTGACCCAGACAGGTGCGTTGACCAAAAATATTTGCACAGTACAAAAACTGTGGCCTTATCAATGAAACTACGTGGGTAAAAAGTATGGTCTGCATTAGGATTTTACTTATGCTTGGACGGATTGATAAGTTCTAATAGTGAGAAACAAGACTTATTTTTCACCTAACGTGGTAATTATGTTTGTGCAAAATTTCTTACTTCCGGGTTAGACCACAACTCATCGACTTCCTGCACCCCGAACACATAACTCAGTTTCTGTTGCTGCTCTGCTTCTTTGTCTTCACCAGCGGGACGCCGGGATCTAGACCGCAGTTGGTATGTAATGTACTGATTGGTTACGCTTCATACAATTAGACGGCGCTGTGGCACTACTGGATAATCTGTTAAACTTAATATTTGCATTTGTACAATGATCTAATACGTGTACCACCACTTTAAAGGAAGTTTTGCTTTGAAGAAAGAGCGTGTCCTTGACAAAGTTTTTTTTATATGTACTATTTCGAAAGAATAATTAATATAGAGAGACTGAAGTTAATAGAAGGAAGTATACCTAGGTATACTTGTAAAAGTAGCTGTCAGGCCTGATTAATTTATTTTCATACTGGGGAATGTTTGAACATCTGTATAAATAATCAGAAAGGGCACCAGGTGTCTAGATCTTACTGGTTTCAATTCATTATTTATTACCTATGAAATGCAAGTAAAAGTTGATTTTTAGTATTAGTAGTAAAAAAAAGTCTCAGTTGCATTGTTTATGGGTGGTCAGTTAAATGGCTTTACTGAATATGAAAATAATATTTTATTTCAGTTTTCTCTGATTATAAATTAAAAACTAAAAAGGTTGTGTGCTTATGTAAATATATCATGATAAGCTGATTGCATGTGGATGAGTGCATGATTAGTGTTTTTCAAAATGTTGACTAACCATTGCAAAATGATTATTAGATTTGCCGCAAAAAAGGTTGGTTTTGCAAAATATGGTTATTCAGTGATGTTCCCAAAATGATTTTTTGATGTGAAATTTTAACTGTACAAAAAGGACAAATTTATTATTTGGAATAATAGTTCATCTAAAAACAGAAAAACTCAAGTGTTAAGAGATAAATAATTATTTATTAGTAAAACTTGCTGGGTCTGTGAATAATGATTTTAGCTATGGGAGGTAGAGAATATGATAGCATACAGGGCTTTAAAACATCATATCTTGATAATGTACTGGTATGTTTTAAGAGACTGACACCTTGATAGCCTGACTGTTATATAAGAGAGTCATATGAATGGAGTCTCTATGCTCAACAAGGTCAGTTAATTAAAGGTATGCTTCCTGAATTTGAAAATGCCCTGAGGGCAAATATCCCCTTTACTGGTTACATATCCTACAGAGCTACTTAACTTTTACTATTCAGACCTACAAGATGGTAAAACCCCTAAAAAAGTAGCTTTCCTGCTGAAATGGTGGTTTTAGTGCATGACTGGTCAATCATTTAGAACTAGAGTTCTAAATTAGAAGTTGAAAAATTCATTAAAGTGGGAGAAAATTGCTTTTTAAATTTTTTTTGAGGAAAATCTCAATTTGGAGGGAAAATCCCAGATGGGATGGATTTATCTCATATTTAACTTAACTAGGAAGACAGCTTGAAGGGGAACTTGAGAAAGGAAGTAAAATTACTTTTAGGATAATTGCATGGTAGAACCACTCAAAGCATACAGGTACGAGTACGGCCTATAATTCATCTAATGCATTACTGAAAGGTTTTTGTTTAGTATAGGAATGCATATTGCCTTTCAAACAAGTAATCTTTTTACCTATATAAATGCAGTGGAATTCTGAACATTTTTGGATAAGAGGAGTGAATTATATTCAGACACTGTACTGTGTCCCAAGCCCCCCTGATAAGATAATAATTCTATTTGTGTGATGGTGATCAAAAGGACACAAGCCATTTAACTGGTCTTATCTTTGAATTTTACTCAAAGCTAAATAATTCCCTTTTATATCTGCATACTAGTAATAACAAACAAGAAATATTTCTAGTACACGGTACTAACAAAGATATTAATTAAAAATATTATTGAAATTTTTATCATAATTATGATTATGATTATAGTTATTATGATGCTGTTTATTGTTTGTGAAGCACATTCCTTTGTATACATTCCACTTTACATTTGTTTGCACCTACATTTATTTGCACCTAAGATCTAATATACCCGTTTATTAGATCTTAGTTTGCACTAATTTTATGTACAATTCAATACTTAAAATTATACAATCTTACTTTTAAATTAAGTTTAGTCCACTAAACTACAAAAAGGAAGTGGAAAGACATTCACCATGAAAAGAGACTATAAAACTTAATTATCACTTTTGGGTCTAATATAGAAAAAACACCATTCCATTAAGTTGCGGCATAAGGTAAGGTATAAAATTTGAAACTTTGGATAAGATAGTCTGAATAATATATCCCCCTTTTGATTTTAGATGTTGAAATGAGAGGAGGCCAAATCAGTGATGGCAGCCAGCAATGATGCTAACCTTCCAGTGCCTCCGCCGAGACTTCCGCCAAAACCGAAGGTCATACGGCGCAAGTCCGAGCTCCAGATGATCCAATATTATTACCCAGACATTAAGGGTTTAGAAGAAGTAGGTCTGATAGTACATATGCAAAAGACTCAATTTTTGTGACCAAAGAAATTTTTTAACTGAAAAATTTTGTGATTTATTTGTTTTATATGACCTAAGTGTGTCAAGTTTCTAACATAAAGTAAACACTTTATTTGTTGTTTTAGAAAATGGCATTGGGAACAAACATACACATTTATTTTTGTAAAAGTTTTAATTTTTTTATGTAAAAGTATATATGTATATTTTCAGTTTGATTTCTGTTTAGTTGCAAGCTTTGCCCTCCAGTTTATAATATTCATGCTTAGTTTTTTTGATAATTAAGCTGACATTTCTTTGAATAGGTTAAAGAGGTTCTCTTTGACTATATCCATATCCCAGGCAGCTTTCTTCTCAGGAACAGTTCAAGGAACGAAGGGGCACTTGTCGTCTCTGTTGTGTGAGTTAAATTTTTCTGTTCTCCATATTTCTGTTAGGATAATATACTTTGTGACACACACATGATGCATGGAGTGAATTTTCAAAAAGAAAAGATAATTTTTGATGAGCTTTTTTTATTATTTGTATAAATTTTAATCAATTAAAAAATAGTTATTTAGAATTTTAATTTTCTATAAAAATAGCACATTTTTTGGCATGGGATGTCCCTGAGAAGGATTTTTTAAAACTTTTCCCATAATGATCAGTGTAAAGTTAATCTTTTATATTAGGTGAAAGTACCTTACTCAAGTTCTCTTGTCAGATTAGTTTTTTTTTTCTTTATTTTTTAAGTCTTCATCAGTTTTCTTTAAGTCTCTCATCATCATTATTAATGGTTTATGTGGGTGATTTTGAAAGTCATTGTGCTCTTGAAAACTTAATAGTGTTCTTTGAAAAACTTTAAATGACATGTTAATCATTGAGTATTTATTACACATAAGCATTGCTCTGTTTAATAGTATTAGGTAGACCTTTTTAGATAGTGAATTAAAGTGAAATATTTTGATGATTTTCAGACATGAAGATGGTTCCATAAAACACTTCACCATCAACGAAAACGACTCCCAGTACTTCCTGCAAGACAAGTACTTTAAAACCATCAACGACTTGGTTCAAAATTATGCCAAAGAGGACGTCCCAAACTTGGAGAACATCGCAAACGTGCGACTGCTTCATCCCATCATCACTGCTTACAGTACAGCAACACCGCCTTCAACAGATCCGTTCTCCGAGTCTTACCCTCCTTCTGGCCGTTCTCCTCTGAATTACTCCAAGAGTTTTCCAAGGTCAGCAATGACAAATGGACCAAAGGGGAGGTACTTCTCGGACTCAGCATATCCAATAGGTGAATCACCCCCACATTCTGCCACCATTGCTACCACTAAAGGTAGGGCAGGGGGGAAAAGTAAGAGTGTCAAGGTGGGATACTTGGAAAATAGCCGACGTAATGAAGCGGAGACCAAACCAACCTGGTATAGACGAGGTAGTATGGATGAGCATCAAAGCAACACAAGAGAGACTGTTAGCAAATCGAATAAATATCGTAGAGGAAGTATTGACGATCGACCCCCAGCACCACCGCCATTACCCCCGGAGGAACCCAAGTATCTAGAAAGTCAGTCACAGACTTATATCTACAGCAGAGCCTATGACACCGATATAAACCGATTTCAGGATCTGCTCGAAAAACTAAAATTTTCCGACGAGCACCAAAAGTGTGACTGTGGTATTTACATCAAGGACTCTTTGTTTCCTGGTGGATGGACCATTCATCGTAGCACGGAAGAGACGACAAAAGGAATGGTGTTCTTTATAAATGAGGAAAAAACCGTCTCATCTTGGACTTTGCCACAAGAGGTTATTCAGCTGCTGGAGCCATCACACTTTCAGACTCTGAAAAGTTTAGGTTTTAATTTTGCTCTGTTTAAGGGATCATAAGTTGAGATATGCTGATGCCTAATTTATTTATTTATTTATTTATTTATTTATTTATTTATTTTGGACAAAAGATACAGGGAATATTTTTTTCTTCAGATTACTCTCTCTCTCTCTCTCTCTCTCTCTCTCTCTCTCTCTCTCTCTCTCTCTCTCTCTCTCTCTCTCAAGGTGATTCACAGAAAATGAAACAGGTTCTTTCACCTTTTTTGGAGGTGATAAGTCATATGCTGGCTAACTGTTATTAGCAAGTTTCCAGGTCAGCAGAAGGTTCCAAGAAAACTTTAATTGAAATTGTGGAGAGGTGAAATCAGACCTGTAACCATCAATTTTTTTTATTATTTTTTTTATTTTTTGCAAAATACCCCGGTAGTGAACCCTTTTACCCATTGGTCACCCAACTTGAAAAATGACATATAGAAGCTAGATCAAATTTCATTTTTGTCCAAAATGGAGGTTTGTTCAAATTCACTGCCCCCCCCCCACCCCCACCCCCCACCCCCCACCCTTTAAAGGTCTTTGCAGCTGTCCGGTAGTGCGCGTGCAATTTTGATGATAATAAATATTATGATTATATGTAGGAAATCATAGCAACCAAGAGGTTTGAACTGAAAAAAAGATGAGTGTTAGTAAAACATTAACGAAATCATTCATGAAATAAGATCTAATAAGCTTGGGTTTCTGAAAAGTGATTTATGTAAACAGATTGAATTTGTTGCAAATTACATTGCACTATGTAAGAAGATTAAGTGCTATTGAGGTCTTTGGATAGAGCAGGTAAATTATAGCGCAATTTATCAGACTTGTAAGTACTTAAACTTTAATATCAACTTATAATTTTATTTAATGAAGACAGAAGATTATTTTGTAAAGGCAAATTTCAGAATGGTGCTTTTTTTATGGTATTGAGACTGCAAAAAGATGCTAGAATGGTGATGTAAATAGAAATGGACTTGCTGAAATGCCATATGAGATTATGGATTTCTTTTGGTGAAATGTACCCCTACATAGTAGTAAGAGAAGAAGGGGTTATGTTAGCTCTGATAAGAAAAAAAAAGGATGACAGTAAGAAAAATTAATTTGCATAACTTAAAGTTAATCAAATGTTTTTATATGTATGATTTTGGGGGTTTGCCCACAGCCCACTGCTATTGACAAGTTAATAAACTGATATAGAGTTATTAAGTAATAGGAGTGAATTTGTAATTTGGGGTTAGTCCGTGTGGGTGTGGATGTGTATCATGCCTTCGACCATATGAAGAAAATTAAATTTGCTTTTCTTTTCCTCTTTATTTTAAAAAGATTTAACCGTTAAATAATGTGGGTAAAACGATTGAAATAAGGTAGATGCAAAGAGTAGGGATTGACAACCTCCAGTGAATGTTTTTTGCCCTTTCAATATTAAGTTCTGTCTGAATGAAATATATTTAAAACAGTCAAGTAGAATTCTAAATTAAAAGATTTTTTGGAAATGTTCATGCAGTGTCATGGTTATTGTGATATAACTAGGGATCGACTATTGACAGGTCTGGTAACTGCCCGTAGTGATCATTTTTGACTGGGAAGATGCTCTTTAACCAAATTTCAAAACACTGTTAATTTTCTAGGAAAGCAATTCTACATTTGAAAAGAGGAAAAACATTTTACTATCATTGCCATGCCATTAAGGGCAAAAAATAGTCACAGGAGAGGAGCTTAAAAAGATTCTATGCATGGTTTCTGCTGCCTTGTCCCAGGCTTGAATATATGCATCAAAACCGAAAGGTATAATTTCAGGGCAATTATGCAATATGTGTATATGTATGTGTGTAAAAAATTCACATTTTGTATGTTAGTGATGTTAAGGGTTCACAGTTTATTATGATTATGCTCAGACTTATTTTCTGAGAACATGCACTCCATTGGTATCAGTTAATTTAAGATACTTGAATGTGATACACAGCTTAAGTGATACACTGGTCTGTGTTTGTGTATTTATGATTTGTCCACAATTTGAACTTTTTAAAAGTCAGTGCAGTTATAGGATTGTTTTGGTATTTCATGCAAGACATTATTTGTACTTTGTTATGCTGTAAAATCATGCAAAACCAGACGTTTATTTTTGAAATTAGTATCAAATAAATTACCCAGTAGATCAAAAGTTTTTTTTTTCTTTTCTGTGGGATGGTTTGGTTTAATGTATTAATAGCTCTACGCGGCTCTTGACTAGTTGCATTTTGGGATTTAAAAATTTTTAAGTATTGAAATTATACATTTTAAAAAGTATTTCGCTTTAATAAAATAAAAAACAGGGTCTCCATTTGAAGAACGACTTTAAATATACTGAATAAATATATCGGGTTTTATTATCCAGAAAAATATATTTTCATATTCCATAATTTTCAGGCAAATGGACACGTAGTCTAGTTTAACCTGACGTTATTTAACTAATTAAAAGTTTTTTAAACTAGAAACTGAACAGTTTTGCCCGATGATAAAAATTAACAAAATAAAACAGAACAAGATTTTAAAACGCAACAGAATTTTAGCGCAGAATCGTGTATATAACGTAACATATTGCAGTGAAAGAACACTGTGAAGGAAGATCCACGCCTCCTCTCATATGCCAGGCTCTCACTGGCTGCATCTGCTGGGATAAAGTAGGTAACCTGTGAAAGTGCTGTGAAACTCCCCGGGGTGGTTATGAAGGGCGTGACCTCCAACCAAACCGATCCACACCTCGTCCCCCTTGAAGAGCCGCAAAGCGATAGTATTACTACCGGTAGAATGCCCTTTAGACGTTCCACCGTATCCCGTGTTCTTTATCTGGCCATTAAGGTACAATCGGACAAACACGGCCTTGCTGTTGATGCTGAGGCTGTGGTAATGGAAGACGTAGACCCCAGAACTCGGAGAGGTGAATTTGCCGGTGTCTTTGTTGTAACCGTTGCCGTCGTTCATGAAGACGGTGTCGTACACGACCACAGCTTCCCCCTTTCCGCTCAGATCTAGATCATGGGATCTCCCCGCCGAGAACGCCACCAGTTTGTTAGATGTGGCACAAGTGCATGACACCAAATCTAGCAAAAGGAAAAAAGAGATAATAATGATTTTGATGCATTTGCCAACGCCAATGTTTGTTTTAACAAGGACTCTTCTGTCAAAATAAAAAGACGTTGCTGAATAACATGTGCAAAACAACTTTCTTAATGTCAACAATATATAAAAATAACAGAGTTGAAATGGTTAATAAATTTCAGAGAGACAAAAACCTTATATCACAGACTTCAAAATACTCGTGACCCAGATCCTCACAACAACACATACGTGTACAAACCACTGCGAACACATATTAACTGTTATTTTTTTGACTGTTTTTTCTCAAAGGGTAGTTTCAACTTGTTTTAAAAATGAAAATTTCACAACAAAATGCACCCCCCCCCCAAATTATAATAAAACAATTTCAATCACAATAATCGAATGAATTACGCTATTCGAACTTGACCTGTACTTAAGTTTCCAGTAATTTTGAGGATAATAGGTCACACGGCTTTCCTTAAATTGGCGAAAAGTGCAGGACGGAAAGTGCACGACGGCGACCACAGACGCAGGTGATGGTTATATATATACATAAAAAGTAAAGAAATAACTAAAATTAGGTGATGAAGTATTATATTTTAGGGTAAAAAACCTTAACTTTTCTTATTTGAAGCATTTCAGGATGTTGCTTGCTGCCAAGGGGAGAGAGGTAAAATTTCCAGATAAATTCAGTCCAGAACCCCAGTTTTATATCATCTGTAAAGATACAAGCTCCGCTCATAGCATGCCTAAATCAGTGGAAAAATTTTGATCACGTGTATTATTACTCTCTCTGTTAGTAATCCTTGTCAACCGTGCAGGCAAATTTATGAAAATGACATGTCTTATAAAGCAAACACCCCACCATACGTATTTACCCACTGGTAGGGGGCCTACCAGGACAAAATTCCGTTATCTGAACAGTGTCTCATTTCAAACACATGCCAGGACTGAAAATAATGTTTCTAAATTCACTCGAACACTATTTTTTCAGCATTTCAGGATGTTTCTAACTGGCACAAAACTGATTTTCTATTTATTAAAAAAACTGAGGTAAGGTACCTTGAGAAACAGCTCTTGTGAACATCGTGACGATGGTCAATATAAAACCAACAGAGTAACTCGTCATGGTGTACAGCAAACTGACAAATTAGCTTGATGTTGTCCAAAGTCTTCTTGCAAAATAGGTGTGAAGATCGCAGCGGACTACCCCAAAAAAACACAAACGAGCACACACACTGTATCAGTAATAAGTAAAAAATACGTGGTTGAACGCCCCCTTTTATTCATGGAACATCACGTGTTATCATACATAATTTGCACGAGGCAAAAACGTAGGGGTTGTACGTGCATGTGCAGGAGGAATATATTACTTTAAATTCTCACATCATAATTCATGGAGAGGATTAAACAATTTATGGTTGAATGGGCCTTAATCTCATTTTTTGTTGCACTAACTGAATAAAGTTCTTAGCAGAACAAAAATAAGTAAAAGATTTATATTAAGTCGCTTCGACTTTAAGAAATTTAGAACGTTTTGGGAGATATAATCTCAACATCGTGATTGCAAATGTCCTAATATTTCACATATGCTGAAATCTGTTTAATCACATTTCCGAGAAGTCGAGTCTAGGCGAAATCTAAGTGCATCAACCTTATCTGATTGAAATGAGTTAGGTTATAGAATCATACTGAGGTTTGGGACAATTAATATGTATGTCCTTGTCAATTAACAATTGGTAATGTATTGTTTGGTATACTGTATTTATTGTTTTGTCCAACGTAAATACAATGCTTCTAACATTTGATCGCATCGAAGTTTACAATACAAATAGTAAAAACTAAATGGATGAGGTCAGAAATCTACACTGAAGTGAATCGGTTTAAAATCAAATCAGAACTCTTAGGATTAACCTCTCTTTTCTATACATTAATAAAAAACTACCGGCTTTTCGTAAAATTGAGATGTCCTAAGATAAGCAAATTAGTCATTTTTCCCTTTCAGCAATTTATACCCCCCCCCCCCATTTATACAAAAAAGCGGTATGAATATTATAATCTATAAATAATAGAAAATCAGCTTGTGGATCTTAATTGTGACAGCGGTTTTACATATGGCCTACACGTACTTGACGATAAAAGAAATAGTATTAAAATTCTCAGGAAAATTGAATTTTAGCTGCATAAAAGTCTAGCGTTTATCTTGTGATTATAAGGATTTTTAGTAATAAGTATAGCAGTGCGATTTAAGAGAATACATGTACATTACATTGAAAATATAAAAATGGGGGGGGGGATAGATTCATTTGTTCAATGTTATACAAGTCCTTTCAAGAGCAAAAGAAACAATTTAAAATGATATTCATAAATGACAGCAATACCCAAGAAAGTTATCTTACTAAAATTAATATTAACATATGTACGAACCTCATTAAATATTTCGTTTTCATTACTTCGCACTATGCGCGACCGCTGCTTTTCCTTTCGCGCTCGTCATTCCTCCCCAGTGCGAGCCCCCAAACAACCTAATTATTGAAGCTTGCCATTTTATTGAGAATTCAGCGGGCAGGGGGACCGAAATGATCCATATATTCATACCATGTTGTGCTGAGAACTTTCTCGAATTATCGGTCTTTCAGACGTGTACCTTGACGAAAACGCTTAACAGCAAATAGTTGGACAAAGTAGATAGAGTGCTGATAGTGAGCGTGGCCGTAGAAGTTTTGTAATGTTTTTAAAAGTTTTAAAAAGTTTTACCAGTTCAGATCCTGGCTTAAATTAAGACCCAGGAAGAAGAAATCTTAGAGTGATTTGCAAGAGGCCATCCATAACAGTTTTATACAGATCGTTTTAATTTAGAGCTTTTCCATTGGGACTGGACACCCTTTTTCACATATTATATATATATGCACTCTGACCTGATGAGGTCTCTACTCCTTGATGGCGTACTGGGAAGTCAATATTTTTAGACTTTTTTAGACATGATTTCCTCAATCCCTTTCTCTCACTTTACCCCCCCCCCCCCCAACTCTCATTCTCTCAAAACCCGCTCTGTGAACACGGGGTATAACTCTACCTCTGTCTCTGTCTCTCTCAACCCCCGACCTCTGCTCTCATTCACCCCCCCCCCCTCCGCCCTCCTCTCTCGCTCATCTCAACTGGAGGGAAACTTTCATAAATGTTGCTCGTGTTTTGATAATGTATCTTGACTTTTCTTATAAGACACACCATAAAATTCAAGGAACCGACCCCCTTACACCCTCTCTCTCTTGCAACTTCCGTCTCTCACACAGTCTACCTCCCATTTCTTTTAAAGGGTGTTAAACATATAAGTTTGCATAGGCTCATTTAACTTTGTGCACTTTGAAGTTTTTGCATAACAGCACAAGGACACCTAAGACAGTTGGGCACTGTTAGAGATTTTAGATCAGTAATCCCACTCAAACAGATATGATCTCAAAGACATAATTGTAAACGACCTCACATTTCACATTTCCTGAAATCTGTTTCATTGTATTTCCTAGAAGTTAAGCCTAGACGAAATCGGAGTGAATGCCCCAGACATAGCTTTATTTCATAACTTATCTCACCTGTCTGAGGTGAAATAAAGCTAATGTCTGGGACAATTAATATGTTTTTGCCAGTTCAAGAAATAACGTAAGTTGCAAAGTAAATCTGATATATTATGCGCTTTTTCTTAACAACGCACTATATCACAAGTAATTATTTACGACTGTTCATTCAATTAAAATGATAAACAGATAATTAACGCCAAAAATTCTTCTTTTTCTCGTCGCTTGAAACCTTGCGCACCTCTTCTTTTCTCGGTTTTTGGTTGAAGACGGTGCGTGGTCGGACTCGGCAGTGCTGCAAACGCAGTCAGAGACCAGTGAAACATGCTTGTCGTCCGGAGGTTTAATTTGAAGTCAAATAATAAAGTCAACGTTAAAAAGTTAATAGTGGAATTCTGGTATTTTTGGAAGCTCTTCTCCGATACTGTACATACATGGCAGCCGCATGTAGCTGACAGATTCGCCGGACACCAGGCTATAAGATATAAACTAAAAAAAGGCACTCAGAGACCGTAGACCCCCGCCACTACATATGATTATCTATCATAACTACATTATTAATTTATCAATGGATCATCACTAAAATCTAACCACTTTTAAGTTAGTTCATTTCTGACATTTTGAAAATTTTATCAAAAGCCATTACCATTTTTTTTGCTGGCGACAAACAGAAAAACGGAGGTGAAAACACCCTCCATGGCGAAGCTAATAAATACGTGTACAGCTTCCACCACCTACCCCTGTTGATATACATTACATGCATATATTTAAAATATAGCTGTCATGGCAACGTTTTTTCAGCCGGCAACAGGTCTGTTAGTCGGAGACAAGCAAAGCTGTACGCAAAAGCAATAGGTGCTCTACACATGCTGCGTGGAAGAGCGTGTTGCATTAAGGAAGTATTTTTTTTTTTATTTTCAAAAGATCTGGCAATCAGCATCAAGACCAAAGATGCTGAAGCCCAATTGTTAACGCATAGCGCTGGCTGAGAGTCAAGTACATGCAGCTGCGAATCGTATCTGTGGCTGTGTATTTGTGGCTACTGGTGTTTCTTTGATGCTCGTTAGTTTCAATTTTAATCTTTATTTTATTAACCATGTTTGTAAAATTTTATCTTATGCTTTTTTTTACTGAGCTAAGGTTTAAAAGATAGACCATTTTGTATGATATAAAGACTAAAAAGCCGCACTTTCTGCAACCTGATTTAGGATCAGATAATAACCATTTTTAAAATAACATAATACCTGTAAGATAAGTGTTTGCACTTAACATATTTTACCCTCGTTAAATAATGTTATTATTACTTACCGCGCAGTTGATCAAACGGTTTGTGCGACATTTTATATAGGCTGTTAGAAATTCTAGGTTTTATAATTTATGTTACGTTCATTATCCTCTTTCAACCCATACAAGTGTGCTCTGTTCTGTTCTCTTTTTCAGCCACAAAGATGATAGTAGCAATAGCGGCAATCCCCCTACACGACACTTGCTGATGTCAACAAATACATCGAGTCGTGCCATCGACCTTAACATTGCCATTTATGGTAAAATCACATGGAACTTAACGAAGCGAATCCCTATAATTACACGTTCTTTGCTCGTTTTGTTCACCCGTAACTGTTCTTTCTGCTGATGAACAATTAGGCACGACCGACTCTAGTCGCTGCGAGAAGATGCGCCTTTTCCTTACTTTGATGCTACTGTCCCTGTCGCTGCTGGCTGCAGTAGGTGAGTCGAGATACATGCATGTATTTCTGGCATTAAATAACAGAAGGTGTCGCACTCGGGATTTCTCAACGTTGTGAAATGCTAGTCGTGAGCTGTAATAGTTTTAGGTTTGAAGTCGGCTTGTCGTGATTAGTGCAAACTTATTTTGCAAGTTTCTACATATTTTGTCACAAGTGCTTTTTTTTTTTTTTTCAAAAAAGATCAATCTTTATTGCTCTAAAAGAATTTCGATTTGTCATATTTGATTGGATAGCTGCTTTACAAATCATTTTCAATGCTTGAATGATTGATTAACAGTTGTATGGACAATTGGTTAATGTAAAACATTTTAATTTGGTTTCAGATGCTTACACTAGTCCGCCCTTCATCGTAAGGCATTGGTCCAGTAGGTTGTGCTATGACTACGTAGATTGGTGGAGGTGGGGCCATCACTACGAGAAATTTCGAATAGACAAGTGCAGCAATGCCGACGAACTGGTATGGCAGCAAGTCGAAGGGCACTTCGGCTATCTGAAAGTGGTTGGAACGAAGGGGCATTGCCTGGGTCCCTGGGGACGTTCGGCTCAGCCGGATGATGACACTGCGATTTTCCCGCATTATACTTGTTATTCTTCAGCTCTGTTCACAATCGATGACGAGAACGGCTACATCAAACATGCTGGTGGAAGTTATGTCCATCCGTATCCCTTCAACCGCGATATACCAAGATGGCAGTCGGACCTGATTATACACAAAGATAAAAATATAAACAATAGGTTCGACTTTGTGCGGAAAAGTAACCATAATGCGAAGGTTAAGATCATGCCAACCCCCAACGTTTCCGGATTCTGGGAGAAAATCACTTGTTGGTTGAACGTGCACAAGGGTGAGCTCAAGTATTCGGTGAAAGTTGGCACCAGCACATCTTCCTCCTCGACCACGACGCATGCGTGGGAGGTATCATTTTCAGCTGCCTACAAAATCATTTCAGCCA